AATAACAAGCGTTGCTGTAACATCAAAAGCTTGTAAAAATCTTGAATATGCAATTTCACTTCCATACGACTTTTCATTTTTGAGATAGACTGATAACATACACACACACACACACACACACACACCATTTTGGACTTGGTTATTTGGAGGACTCAGGGGACCTCAAAACATGTATTTCAGTTGAAAACTCAGACTTGAAAATTTTCACCATCGCAATACCTACCCTTACTATATATTGCATATATAATAGGTAAGTGAAAGTAAATAAAAGTTCAAAGTGTAGGAGTAAAATAATTTTAGCATGTTAACAAATTGTCTGAATTAGAGACATATTTAATTAGTTGAAATTGAAGAATTACTTCATATAAAACAGTTTAAGAAATAAAATTATTTTTTTTAAAGGGGAGGTGATGTTATTGCCCTGGGCGCCAAATCTCTAAGACCCTGAGAATGTGGTTTGTGCCCCAGTGTCTGTTGAGAAAAGCACACAATGTTCAACGAGACACAAAACTTAAGTGCTTGGAATTTAACACCACAGCCTTCAAACCATTATGAAAACAACATTTAACTCCCCATACCTACAAGATAATTGTCATCCAAACTCTCTTTCCAGCTGACAATGTTCAACATCTGCGATTCAATGAGCACACGTTGGATATTCTTCATGACGAATTTGCTTTGCTCATCACATCAGACAAAGACAAACATTTCAACAGGTGTGCTTTTGCATTTAATATCTTATTTAAAATGTGGAATAGTGAGAAGTTTGTCAACATGTACTTTTGAGTTCAGATATTCCTATAAGTGGAAATTACAGAATGTGATGTTGGGCGAGCAGAGTAGTCTCAGGATGTCACTATTTCTGGAAATAGATATCTTGGGAATGTTCCATGGACAAAATTCATTGAAACTCTTGCGGTTTGAGTGGCACCGTCCTGTTGAAACTAGATGTTTTGAGTGTCCCATTCATTTTCCTCATAGGGATAAAAAAAATTCATGAAACATAGCCTTGTATTGCTCTGAATTCACTGTCACCGCCTGCCCTCTCTCATCTTCAAGAAATTAAGATCAGATTATCTGAAATTTTGACAAAGCTTTCCACACTAATTTTTTGGCTGTGAAGATAGAAGCTGCTCATACAATTCTCTTGAGCTGTCTGTTGCCTAATCTCAGCAATTTTTTGTTTGCTCACATAGCCATCCAAGTGATAATGTGCTTTGTCTGATGTGATGAGCAAAGCAAATTCGTCATGAAGAATATCCAACGTGTGCTCATTGAATCGCAGATGTTGAACATTGTCAGCTGGAAAGAGAGTTTGGATGACAATTATCTTGTATATATGGGGAGTTAAATGTTGTTTTCATAATGGTTTGAAGGCTGTGGTGTTAAATTCCAAGCACTTAAGTTTTGTGTCTCGTTGAACATTGTGTTCTTTTCTCAACAGACACTGGGGCACAAACCACATTCTCAGGGTCTTAGAGATTTGGCGCCCAGGGCAATAACATCACCTCCCCTTTAAAAAAAATAATTTTATTTCTTAAACTGTTTTATATGAAGTAATTCTTCAATTTCAACTAATTAAATATGTCTCTAATTCAGACAATTTGTTAACATGCTAAAATTATTTTACTCCTACACTTTGAACTTTTATTTACTTTCACTTACCTATTATATATGCAATATATAGTAAGGGTAGGTATTGCGATGGTGAAAATTTTCAAGTCTGAGTTTTCAACTGAAATACATGTTTTGAGGTCCCCTGAGTCCTCCAAATAACCAAGTCCAAAATGGTGTGTGTGTGTGTGTATGTTATCAGTCTATCTCAAAAATGAAAAGTCGTATGGAAGTGAAATTGCATATTCAAGATTTTTACAAGCTTTTGATGTTACAGCAACATTTTCGTTAACGGCAAACCGGAAGTAGTACTTTATATAATCGATTTAACACATTTTTACAATTATCTCAAAAATGGCTCTAACGATTGTGATTAAACTCAGTATATCAGTGTATTATTAAGCAGTTTTTAATATAATATAATATAGGTTTTATTCTCATTGATGTTCTAATATCAGAGCTTAAATAGCTAATTTTCAATATCGGCTTCCTCTAAAGTACTTTAATTTTTTTTTTTTAATCATTAACCACTTCACATTAATCTTTGATATAATAGTTAAATATAAAATATGAAAGAATTTGATAATTAACTAAAAGAGAAATAAGATATTGCAACAGATAATAGAGGAATCAAAGGAATACAAGCTTGCCTGAAAGATTACAACAGGCTTCCATATGATAACATGAGCTTCGTATAATACGGACTCCGACAATATTATAATTATATACATATGTGGTTTTTATAAATGCTATCGTTGCTATTTAATATTTAACTGTATAGAAGAGAGATAAATTAAAATTTGTATATATGTATAAGTGTATTTAAACAAATAAAAATACCCACAATGAATTGTAAAAAAAATATAGCATCAATAATTTTTACTTTCACTTCCCCTTTGTCTGAAAATACTTATTTAGGCTAAGAAAAGGGTGGTAAGTGAAAGTTGTGTAATGCACGCACCAGAGTTTTACTCTAAACAAGTGGCGGGCATCCCTCCCAGCTGGGTACCCCAGGGCAATTGCCCGGCCAGCACTCAGCATCCATTTCAAATGTGGTCATTTTATCACTGTCACCCTATATTATGGACATATATGAGCATAGATCTTATGTATGATAGAGTTAAAAAATAAATTTTTGTTTTTAATAATATAAACAAATAGCATCAAAATTAAATAATAGACTTGAAGATGGCTCAAGTTAATCAGAAAGGTTGAGAAGATGTTAATCAAGAAGAAAAAAGTGAAATAAGATTAAAATGGTTAAATTATTTCTTTTCCTTCAAGTTGCTACCACACATGGAGGTTGAGTCTCTGTCCATCTCCAACCAACCCCACATCCGTCACTCGTGGGATGTTCCCCTATGCGGTAATCAGTCCACGTGAGGAAATATAGTTTAAAAAAATAAAATTAAAAAAAAATTATTTTATGTAATTAATGTTTGTTTATCATTTTCACTTTGATCATTTATGAAAAACTATTAAATTAAAAATTAAATTTTGATATTTTTACTTAAGAAATTATTTATGTTAATCTAGTTGTGCCTATGAAATAATCATTTCTAATTTGTAATTGTGGGTTGATGGTTGACTGTAGAGAATAATTAAAGAGAAATATGGTTGGGGTGATCAGTCAAAATAAAAATAGCAAAAATAATTAATAATATTTATTTTTACATTTGCCGACGTTTCGGCCCGAAGTTCAGGCCTTCATCAGGGCTAAGAAAAGAACCAGATAACAATAGATATGAGAAAATATAAACATTAAATAATAAAGAATTAAAATTAAAAAGGTGAAAGGTATAGACTAAAAATTGTAGGTAGAAAAAAATTGAAGTTAAAGGAAGTAAATAGAATGAAAAAAAAATAGTAAAATAAAGTAGGTAGAATAATAACAGTAATGGAGAACTGAGAAATAAATAATAATAACAAGAACAAAGCACGGACCAATGGTGACATAAGAAATGAAAAATGGTAGTCCTAGAATAAAATGTAAAACAGAGAAAAGGAATATGAAGTAATATAAGAAATTAATAGATATAAATAGAAAATTAAGATATTGTAAAATTTATCAAAAATACTGACTGTACAAGAGAATGAAAGTTAAAATAATGTAAAAAAGATGAATGAGAAAATGTATCAATATATAAAAAATAGAGACGCAGATCTGGAAAATAGAGTGTTGGGAAGGAGCAAAAAAATGAGAAAACTAAGATAAGAAAAATAAACAACCTGTTCAATCTGACAAGCGTGGACAGACAGAGGTACGAGAGCTGTAATGTGCGCCATCTGTAACGGATTGACTGATAAATGCAACTGAAGCACAGGAAAAGTATATAATGGACGAGAGATATATAATATATCAATTCTATGAGTTATCTAAATAAAAGTTTAATTGAAAGCGGATGAAAATAATGTGGAGATAGAAAACAGAGATGATAAAAAAAAATAATAATATAGAGTATTACTGAAATAAACGTAAAGAAAACGAGATTAAAGAAAACGAAAAAATATATTGATATAAGAATAAAATTAAAGAGAAATAAGGAAGTTGTCAGCGAAAAGGAAAAGGAGATTGTTTAGATGTTTTAATGAATTTAGAATTTGGGAATAGGCTAAGGTTAAGTTTTGTTTGTCTGTTTTAAGATTCACTGTCTTAGGTTAGAGCTGGATGTAGAGGGTTTCAGATATGGGTCGTTTGTCATGGTTAGGGATGGAGGCAAGGATAGAAGTTTTGTCAAAATCTAATGTATGGTTTAGGGAGAGAGAATGTTTTGGATAATTTGGAGGTGGTAAAATTGCCAGAGAATACATAATATTTATGTTGGGTGATGCGGTCTTTTAGAAGATTTTTGGTTTCACCAATATAAGAAGAACCCCTAATTACTTTTCTTCTTATATTGGTGGAACCAAAAATCTTCTAAAAGACCGCGTCACCCAACATAAATATTCTGTATCCTTTCATAATTTTACCGCCTCCAAATTATCCAAAACATTCTCTCTCCCTAACCATGACAAACGACTCATCTCTGAAACCCTCCACATCCAAATTATGTTAATTTCATTGGTCCATGCTTTGTTCCTGTTATTATTTTACCTACTTTATTTTACTTTAATGTTCACTCTATCTACTTACTTTAACTTTTAAGTTTTTTCTACCTACACTTTTTAGTCTATACCTATGTCGGCAAATGTAAAAATTAATATTATTTATTTTTGCTATTTTTATTTTAATTGATCACCCCAACCATCCTTCTCTTCATTTCAAATTTGATTCATTTTCTTAATTTAGTTTACCCTATTTGTGTCTATTTTCTAATTTTTTCCACTACGATTTCTAATGTAAGGTATTTATACATTTTGTACTTATTTAAAAAATATTTTTATAGGTTAGGACTAAGAATCAACCTAAAAAATGGCCTATCCCTGATACTGTTGGAGAACCAGTATATTTATCATCACAACATCCATTGGCAATGCACCCATTGGGACCTCCAGTTATACCCATACCAGCTGTTGTACCATGTGCTAATTTAAACAGGGTACCAAACTTTCCCCAACCAGTTGTTGCCCCTCCTCCTCTTCCATTCAGTGTCCACGAAAACTTGAATCCTGAAGTTCCAGAATTTGTGCCAGTTGATTCTGGAAAAGAAGATGGTAATATTTTTATTATGAATTTTTATAATTACCTTGGTTCGTTCTAACAGTTCCTTGTGTTCATTTTTTTTTTTTTTTTTGCTTTTTTTTGCTTTATTTTTTTGCTTTTTTTTTTTTTTTTGCTTTTTTTTTTTTTTTTTTGCTTTGTGTATCAATTGTAATTTTGTTCTTGTAATGTTTCTTATGTTCTATATTTTTTTTCATTAATCCTTTAGGAAAAATGTTTTAAAAATAAAAGTTTTAAGGAATTTTGTTTTAATAAAGTTATACAAAAACACTGAATTGAATTCCTCAATTTACTTTCCTTATTTCCTTTTTTTATACATATTGTATTTCTCATTGTGTCCTAAACCAGATTCTATCCCAGGAAATTATTTTATTTATATTACTTTATGCAGAACAAACCATAATCCACGACCCACCGGAGTTGGTCCTCCAAATCTGTCAGATAAACTTTGGTATGGTTTAATGACTCTCTATGACAATCTTCCTTCGGGCCTAACAGATACATTAGGAAAATGGGTGGTAGAGCTCAGCAGAACAAGCAGCAATAGTGAAGTATTTACCAATTGGAACACCGAATGGTGGCAACTGTGTATAATGGTTCATTGAAAATAATTTCGAAACTTTAAATGATTTAAGGGATTGAACAGCACCAACAGTTGAAAATAAAAAATAAAGTTGTGTGTGTATCATACACTATCGCTTACCACCCCCCCCTTTTTTTAAAAAAGCAGAAATAGGTATTTTCAGACTAAGGGAAATTGAAGTAGATAATAAATCAGGTTTTTAAAAATATTTATTAATGGAAGGGTTTAATGAAGTGTTATGTCATTTTCATAATAAATAATTTATTGATTATTTAGTGTGTTAAATTCATACTTTATTTTTTGACTTGAGCATTTGAAAAATAAATTAATGTTTTAAAGAATTATCAAATCCATTAGTTATGCCTTAAAATTTCTTATTTCTCTTTTAAAGTTAATTTATGCTCTGTCAAAGTAAACGTATCAATTGTGTTTTAAATGCTTTTAACTGAAAATACATACATAGCTGTGTTCTCCATTAGTATTGAATTCTGCAAGAATTTCCTCCCAATCTTTTTTTTTTTTTTTTTTTTTGAGAACTAGATATGTGAGGAACTGGAACTCCTCTCCACAAAATCTTTTTATTTTTATATCATTCATCTATATAATAAGATTATTTAAAAAATATATAACAATAGTTTATTATGTATTAGAACAGTCCAGTTACAGCTCCTTTAATTACTCGATGTTTAATCGATATTTTAACACATTTTCACGCCAATGTTTAAGAAAAGAAGAAGCAGTTATATATCATTATCTGGCTAATATCGAACTAATTCAGTGAAGTGGAGTGGAGAAAATAACGTTCTCAACAAAAATTTTCTTTTTTAGCTTTCTCATACCTCTTCAATACCCCAGAAAATAGCTTGAACCAAGAAGTTTCATTTTATTGGATTTTATGTAATAACAAAAATAACAATTAGTATAATAATAATTTCAGAAGTATAATAATAGCAAAAATAATAATAACACTATAATTACATTTTCTATCAGTTAAATATAAGTTGTCTTGAGTAAAGGGGATTTTTGGGAGTGATGAAGGGGTGGACTCTTTTAGGGACGATAAGGGAATAGTGGAGTATAAGGAACGACTATGCATACCACCAATAGTCCCTTCCAATTAGCACTCATTTTGTTCGATGGTACTTCGTCTGTCTGAGCCAAAAAATGGGCAGATTATTCGGATAGCTTTAAGAGACGGATAGTCGTTTTTCTGACATGTAATTCATATGCCAGAAAGATGGAATAAAGTAGTGACTAGTGTTGGACAATACTTTAAGTGAAATGTTTTTTACGACTTATTTCAAATAAAGCATTAATTTTCACACAAATAAATTAATGAACAACAATGGGAACTTATTCAAGGTCCTACTAAGAAGGTATTTGAATGAGAATAAGGGAGCGACATGGTAGACATCAGAGCCTTCTAGAGGGCAGTGAAAAGGGGCGGGGTGGCCGAATAGGCTAAAGCGTGTGCACTGCACCGTGAGTCGCCTGGCAACCAGATATATGAAGATTTGAGAGACAAGAAAAAAAGTACGAGTTCGCATCCCGGTGCCAGAGGGGATTTTAAATTCCCCGCCCCCACCCTCTGGCCCAGGAAAATCCTAATTGGCGAGGTAGGGAAGAAAAAAAAAAAAAAAAAAAAAAAAACAGTGAAGTGGGCAAGAAAGAAACATTCAAAGGTTTTAGTTCTGTGAAAAGGGATATAATAATAATCATTTGGGGAACGTCACCACGACTCCAATTATAATATCCTCCAATAAATCGATACCAAAGACAACAGTGGCAGGCACGATGGGATTAAAATTACCTCTTGAAGTGCTGAAAGAGGCTCAACACTCAGTTCTCTTAAGACACAGCACGTATTGTTCAAACATTTTTAAACGTCTAAAAAAATAATAGATATTAATATGAAGGTGGCTGGACTTCTGGTCTCCCACCTCAGAAACTTACCCCGCAAAGCAAGAATAAAAAATGGAAATAATAATAATGCTTTATTTATTCTGGGACAAGACCCTTTAGAATAATACAGAAAGACAAAAATGTGGGCTAAGGAGTCTCAGAGATACATAAACAAAAATATGGTGTAATTAAATAGTCATAATAGAAATTATAAGTTTTTTCTAATTTAGATCAGTTAATAATAATAAATAAATAAACATGAAATAAAAATAATGAAGAACGATCTAATAATTTATATACATATTTGCAGTAGTAACTATTTACAATTTTATGGGGACTGGATGTATAAGAAATGATTGAACTGGTAGGATTTAAAAGTAGGAAGGTATTGGATTGACGGATGTGGGGAGGGATTAGTATAGGTATAGAGATTATAAACAAGAGGTCTTGTTTTCTGTTAATGGACAAAGGGTTTCAACCATAGGGGACTGTAGATTTGGAAAGTGTGCTTGCACTCGATAGTTTGGTATAGATGAGATCCTAAGAAATACTGTTGGTGGGTGGAAAGAATAAGCCACTTCAACTTAACACAAAGGTGGGACAGATGAGACTGCCTTAAGGCACATACTACAGACAAATCATTAAAAGCAGTTCATCATTCGCTTTAATCTGTCCTCAAGTACAACCAAGAGGCCACTTCATACCACATATCCATAGTCAAAGTGGGGTAAATAACAATGAGAATGAGTTTGCGAGTAGGTTGTGGAAGATGATGGGAACAATGGAATAATTTTATTGTATCTATTTAACTTTGTTAGATATGGGCAATATGGGATTTTCTTTAGAGGTTTTGATCAATAGTTTCATCCAATTTATTAACCTATAACCCTATAGTTTATTTAACCTATAGCAATGACCTGAGTTTTCATGGAGTTTAACTTTCATTTATTCAAATTTGTCCAAGCACTGATGCTTGAAGTATATATTGATGTATTGTGGATAGTTTGGAGAATGGAGTACAACCTCAGTAAATTGATAGTACTAAGTTAAAAAGGTTTTGATTAAATATGTCATGTCATGTGTGGCACAACATCCCGTTACCGAGACTGGGCCTCCTCCAAGAGCCTCCGCCAGTTGGCTCTGCCTTCTGCTGCAGCTCTCCAGTTCCGTACACCAAGCAGGGTTCTCGCATCATAGGCCACGTTGTCCAACCATCTCGTCCTCGGCCTTCCTACCCGTCTTACGAGGTGCAGCTCCTCCATCATTATTTTTTTTGGTATTTCAACAGTGCTCATTCTGGCCACATGTCCTGCCCACCTCAGTCTGGCCAGTTTAATATACGTGACTACGTCGATGTCTGCATAGAGAGAACTGAGCTCCCTATTTTTTCTTTTCCTCCAGACATCACCCTCCTTTACTGGACCATAAATCCTTCTGAGGACTCCTCGCTCAAACACACTCAGCTTCATCTCATCCTTTTTAGTCATCGTCCAAGCCTCTGAGCCATATGTCAAAACAGGCCGAACAAGGGTCTTGTATATGATCAGCTTGGTCTTCTTTGAGAGGTACCTACTTCTTAAGTGTCGGCCAAGTCCAAAGACACATCTATTGGCAGCCGTGATCCTTCTTTGTATTTCTTGAGCCATGTCATTTTTGCTATTAATTTCAGACCCAAGGTATATAAAACTTTTCACTCTCTCAAACTTAAAAGAACCTACCTCAAATGGAGAGTTCAGATCCACCTCACCACCAACTCTCTTATACTTAGTTTTCCTCTCGTTGACTTCTAGACCAAGTGGTCTTGCAGCTGCTTCAAGGCCTATAAACGCTTCTCTGAGAGCCCGTTCAGACCTACCTATTATGTCAATATCATCAGCAAAACCAAGAAGCTGTGTCAGGCGATTAAAGATTATATCGTTGGTCTGAATACCGGAGCCTCTTACAGCTTTCTCCTCTGCCAAGTTGAACAATAGACAGGCTAGGGCATCCCCTTGTCTAACCCCACTGCTCACTTTAAACTCTTCGGAGTCGTCAGAACCGACGCGTATTCTACATCTCGAGCTGTCCATGGTCATCTTGATTAGGCGTACGAGCTTCTGAGGGATGCTTAGCTCCTCCAAGGCACAGTATAGTTGCGTTCTATCAACGCTGTCGTATGCTGCTTTAAAGTCCAGGAATAGATGGTGGGTGACTACCTTACGCTCCATAGTCTTTTCTAGGATCATCCTCAGAGAGAACAGTTGATCAGTGGTTGAGCGTCCTCTTCGAAATCCAGCCTGATATTTCCCCAGTTCCTTTTCAGAATACGGGAGGATCCTCTCAAAAAGAATGTTAGAGAGCAGCTTATAAGCACACGAAAGGAGTGAGATTCCTCGATAGTTAGCGCATTCTGTTTGATCTCCTTTCTTATGTATTGGGCAGATAATGGCTGTTGCCCATTCCGTAGGCATAGCTTCCCTCTCCCAGATGGTCAGCATTAAATCATGCAGAGCTTTCTTGAGTTCTTCACCTCCACATTTCAACAGCTCTGACTGGATTCCGTCCGGGCCTGGCGCCTTTCCATTTTTCAATTTCCTCAGGGCGTTTTCCATTTCTTCCTCATCCGGGGGTTCAATAGAATTCAGGGAGTCTTCCTTCATTACACCTACTTCTCCAGGCACCGTTCCTCTGTTTAATGCGCCTTTGAAATGTTGTACCCATCTCCTTAGTACGTCATCTTTGTGGCTTAAAAGAGTTCCATTCGTGTCTTTGCATGCCGTCACTCTGGGCCTGAAAGCTGCCCTACCCTCGTTTATTCTCTGAAAGAACAGGCGACTTTCATTTTGGCCGCGCAATGCCTCTGTGTCCTCCATGTTCTTATTTTCCCAAGCTCTTCTCTTTCCGCGGAATAATCTCTTCTCTTCGCGTCTTTTTCTTCGATATGTTTCTTGGGAGAGCCTTGTGGGACGCTAAACCTTCTTTCTGTAGGCTTCATTTTTCACTTTTACTGCTTGAAGGCATTCAGCATCAAACCATGGGGGCCTTCTAGATTTAGTTTCGTAGCCAAGAGCTTCTTCTGCTTCCTGTTTCATTGCGTTGCTGCATCTCTTCCACTGTTCATCGACCATAGAGCTGTCATTAATTACTTCTTCATTAAGTTTCGTCTCCACAGCTTGTTGATACGAATATTGGTGGTCTGAGTCCTTAAGTTTAACCACATCAATCTTCTTCTTTGGTCGTTGGTAGTGGTTTTTAATCAGCGAAATTCGTGATCTGACCTCAGCAATGCTCAAATAGTGATCCGTGTCCATATTTGCACCTCTATAAGATCTTGCATTTATCATGTTGGACTTGTGACGGGCACTAATGAGTACATGGTCTATCTGTGATGCTGTTTGCCCATTTGGAGAGATCCATGTTGCTTTGTGGATATTCTTTCGAGGAAAAAGAGTTGTTCCAACAACCAGTCCGTGCAATGTAGCTAAGTTCACCATCCGTAGCCCATTATCATTACTGGTCTCATGCAAGCTGTGGGTTCCTATGGTCGGCATGAGTGCCACCTCCTTACCAACTTGGGCGTTAAAGTCACCAAGAATGATTTTAACATCATTTTTGGGGCAGCTTTCTGTCACGCGTCCAAGTTCTTCATAAAATGCTTCCTTATCCTCCTCAGGTGACACCTCTGTTGGGGCATGGCAGTTGATTAGAGAGAAATTAAAAAATTTTCCTCTAAGCCGAATGTAGCATAACCTTTGGTTAATGGGAGTAAATCGCATCACTAGCTGTCGAGCTCTGCCTCTCACAACAAATCCGGTACCGAAGACGTGATGCTTTTCATGGCAGCTATAGTAGAGTGTATGGTACTTCTTCTCCATAATTCCCTGTCCTATCCATCGGACCTCTTGGATAGATGCTATGTCGATTCTGTATGTGTCCACTTCTGCAAGGAGCGCACGAAGTGCTCCTAGTCTATGTAATGACAAAATGTTCCAAAATCCAATTCTTAGGTCATTTAGGCGTTTCCTGGGTCTGTTACCGTAATTCAGTCCAGCTTCTTCTCTTTGAGGTTTCGTAATAAGGTACTTTAGGGGGGGTGGGTTATCAGCCTACTGCCCCCGAGTCAGGTAGAGGGGCTGCCTCCTCCGAGCATCCTGACTAGCTCCCCCATCCGCGGCGGCTACCTAGGGAAGGTGACCCTAGGGTGTGTACTGTAGGTGACCTTTGTCTGTAGTGTTTAGGTGTTGTAGTGTGCTGTATAAAGTGTACTTGGTGTTGGACTTCACTTCACTAATAACTATTTAATTAAATATTATAATTTAAAAATGTAAGGTTCTGTCATTTGTTCATTTACTTATGTGATATGTATTTTCTATATTATGATTCCATTTATTTTCTTATATGATTTGATGTTTTACTTAATTAACTTTTTATGTTTCTTCCTGATAACTTTTTATGCTTTCTTGTTCACGATATATGTATATATATATTTTTTTTTTTCAGAACTGCAAACTGAAGTGGTGGAAAAAGATGATAAAAAAACCTTTGCAACCAATGAGGAAACCGTATGTGATGTAATAAAAGAACAACCTAGCCAGAATGAAGGTACATTTTCTGAGATAAATGGTCTCTTTTAAGTTATCAGTTTTTTTTTTTTTGGCTTTTCTTTTTTGCCAAAGTTTAATATCTTTATTTTATTTCATCGATGGTATTAATTATATCATATTTTGGTAATCATTACTCATTACTTGTTTTTTTATACCATTATAATCACATGCTGTAGAAAAGTATTAATCACTTTCCATTTACAATTATTTTCCGAACTGTGTTAATTAGAGGTGGACAGTTGTATTTTAATATTTGTTTGTATATAAGCTCGCCATATATCATAAAATAGATAATAAGAGATATGCCAGAAACCTCAGAAGTGTACTCAACAACTTCCTGAAGTCTCATGGTGATCAGATGAATGGTGTAATAATGCATAAAGGATAGAAGCACTATTCCTGGATTTTTCCAATGAAGCGTTGAGGTTCACATGACTAGAAAATCTTGGAGGCCTTCTAGCACTTTTGTTTTTCAGTATTTTTTTGGACCTGAAATCTAAATGTTAATTATTGCCTTGAATCAGTTCAACTCATGAATAATTTTTTGTAGTGTCATTCCAGTTATTTTTAAACTATATTATGCTTTGTTGCTCAATTTCACTTAGTTTGCTTCTGCATGGCATATTATCTAATACTTCTGGACACTGCTATATTACACAAATTTGATGGCAGTGCCTTCTCTCAGCACCCATGTTTCGTGATTTTATTAGTTGTTCACGATAGCTTCAACTTTAAAACTGTTAAAACATGTTAAGTGTTACTGAGAGTTTATTTTTAAGAAGTAATTTCATGTATTTATTATTTTTTAATCATGAATCAATCATTAGTTACACCATGTTTCATTTTCAGTTGGTGTTAAAACAAATGAAAATGTTGAGACCATTGTTGAAAGCAGTAATTCTTGTAAAGTACCAAGTTCCTACGGAGAAGAAGACACCTGGAAGGAAGTGAGTATTGTTTTAGAGATCAGTTCGAAGTATTTATGTTTTTTAGATAACTATATGTATTGTTTTAGATATTTTCATAACTTTTGTATATTTTAGATGTTCATCCGTGTGCTGCTATTTTCATACTAAAAACCATTAACTGTTAAAATAACTAAATCTTGTTTAGAATCAGTTATTAACAATGACTACTTATTCTTATAATCAACATATTAGCTACTTCTTCTCACAGCCAAGTTTGATTGTTGTTCAGTGCTTCAATTTTGATTTCTTTGATTGAATTAATCCTACCTGTAAAACGAGTAAATCATTAAAGTAATTAAGGGATGAAATATATAAGTAACATAGGCATGATTAAAGAAAGTATTGTTATTGTTTATGATTTAAGGTCAAAAGAAAGCACAAACCTGTTGGCCCAAAACCTGAAAAGACGGATTTCCCTAGTCAGATGTCTTTTGAAAAAGAGGAATTAGATTTTCAATTTGATGAAGAACTTGACAATGTTCCAGTTGGAAGAGTAAACACATTCACTGATTGGTAATTTTAAAATGTTAACATTAAAATTTTCCTTGAAATTCTAATAGGCATTAGTTTTTATGATATAATTTGTTTTGTTTTTTCATTATGTAATGTGAACTTGAGTTTTAGCCACTTCTCTTCACATACAATGGTGGCTCCTAAATGCACTTAAAAAAAAAGTGTTTAAAAAGCACTGCTGTATGAAGAAAGAAAAAAAAAAGCTTGATTATAGATTAAACTTATCTGATGTAGTATGGTATTTTATCAATAAATAATAAGTTTCTAAAACTGCTTTACAATTATTTTCTTAGGTCTGATGATGAAGGAGATTATGAATTAAGTGATAATGAGCTCAACAAACTTCTAATAGTTACTCAAACTTCACAACCTTCCCGAACAATTAAACATGATGGACATGATAGGACTGGTGATTGGACTACAAGAGTTAAAATGACGCAAGATTTAGAACAAGCCATAAATATCGGTCTTCAATATTATGAGGAAAGTTTATGGTGCGAACAACATGATTGGGTAATTTTTCATAACTATTATATTGGATTTTCTTAATAATATAATGGGGGGACTTCAATTTTTATAAGAAATGGCTATAAATTATGTTCTAATTTTGTTTAGCTGGGTTTACACATGCATGTTATAAGTAACACATTTGGCAAAATATGCCGAATGTGTAGATGTCTGTTATGATGAATGTTTGTATTATAAATTTGTTCCTGGGTGTTTCTTTTTTGAATCAGATTTTCTTCATGAATCAAAGAAAATTATCTCTATGATAAGAAAAATCAAATTCCCTGTTAATCCATTCATCAACTAATATCAAACATTCTTGCTTTTTATTTACCATAAGATTAGGTAACTTTGGCACACTTGACACTTTTCAAAGTTTTAAGCTGCGTCTATCTTTATTTTCAAAGTTAAAATGCTGAAAAAATTATTGATATGTAAGGTCAGTCTTTTTTTTACAAAATATGGCAGAACAATAACTCTAGAAACAATAGTCTTTTAATACAAAAAAAATTTAATTTGTCCTAATCTTACCCCATTGATTTGGGTAGAATTGGGACAGTGCATTATCTCCATTAGAAACGGCAGTTACAATGATTTTGTACTAATGTTAACCCTGGGATTAGATCAAGAACAAATGGGATATGAAGGTCATTATGGAGGGTTTTATTGGTTGCATAGAAGGGATCATCGACTATTGTTCGGAGGACTTTAGACTGGAAGGATTGAATACATTTGATGTTAAAAGGTTTTGCTGTCCCCCACAGTTCTAGTCCATACATCCAGATAGGTTTCAGGATTGTCTTGTAGATTAGTAGTTTGTCGTCCACTGAAAGTTGAGATTTTCTATTCATTAATCTATTCATCTGTTAAGTTATTGTTTTTTAAGTCTGGTATGTGGTTTTCACATTAGTCTTTTATCTAGAAGAAAGCCGCGATATCGGACTGTGTCAAAGAGAGGAAGAGGTATGGAGTTTAAATAGACTGGTGGACAGGACTTGCGCCGAAGAGTAAAAGTGATATGTTTGGATTTGGATTCATTTACTTATATGCAATATTTATTACACCAGTGTTCAATAAGAGAAAGATGACTTTGTAGGTTTAAGGATGGATGCTGTTTCAAGATCTGGATTGGAAGATAGGATGGCTATGTCGTCAGCAAATGTTTCCCGGAATGTTTCGGGATAAGTAGGAATATCAGCAGTTAACAGAATGTAGAGGACGGGACCCAAGACGCTGCATTAAGGAACTTCCGCCTCAATTGAATGGCAGTTGGAGGATTCTGTACTTGAAAGGAGCGGTCAGAGAGGTAGGATCGGAGTATTAGATATAAGGACTCTGGGGTAGGTAGGTTTTATGCTTAAAGAGTAGTCAAGTGTGCCATACACGGTTGAAAGCTTGCACAATATCCAGGAATGCTCTCGAGCAATACTCTTTACTTTCTAAGGCTGATAATATGTGGCCAACAACTCGGAGTCCTTGTTGAACAGTGGAATGTTGGAAATGAAATCCAAATGTTGGAAATGAAGGTTGGAAGGTTTTGTGATTCTATTATGGGTAGGATTCTTTTTAATAGGATTTTTGAAAGGATTGGGAGTAGGATGATGTATTATTGGAAGGTTTGGCTGGTTTCAGAAAAAGGACGGTGGTGGAATGTTTCCATACAAGAGGAAATTGGGTAGTTCTTAGGATGCAGTTGTATATATATATATATATATATATATTTATATATATATATATATATATATATATATATAATATATATATAGGTGAGGAACATGATCGCTTTGGGTGGTAGTTGATGAAGGATCTGTGGAGTTAGAAGGTTGTATCCAGGAGATTTGCGGGAATAAAGTTTTTGTAAATGATATTTGACCTGAGAAGGTTGAACTGCTTTTGGTGGGTAAGAAAGTGGAATTGGTGAGTAGAGCAATTTTTCTACTTTTGCAGTATGGGTGGAATGGGATTCAGGATGAGGAGTAAATGTACAGGAGAGGTGTTTGGTGAATTCCTCAGCTTTGTCTTCATCAGATGCTGCCTAGGAGCCATCACCTTGACGGAGGGGATGGGAAATATGGGATTTTAGAATTTTTCCAGAGGAAATTGTTGTGAATGGAGATGGAGGCAAGGTAGGAGTTAAAGGATTGTGATTTGAAGTTGGATAATTCTTGCTTAAATTGTTTACAGTAATAATTATAGGAACAGCGATCTGTGGGATGTTTGGTATAGATTAACTTGAAGATGTGTTGAGGTAATTTATTTTTCTTTGGAATTCTTGGGGAATGATAAGTCCAGGCTGCTTGTTGAATAGTGGTGGTAAAGGAGTGTATGGTATTGTCAAGGTCTTCTGGGGTTTTCATGGTTATTTTGAGGTCAATTTGATCGGAAAGGATTTGATGGAAGAGTTTCCAGTTGACTGGGCCTCTGATAAAGGACGGTGGAGAGAGTTTAGGAATAGGAGCTAGTGATACTTGGAATATCAATAGACTGTGGGACTGTGGGAATTGAGTGCAGACAGCAGTGTTCGGCTGCTAGAAATTTTTGTTCTGGAACCCATTGTTCATGCTTGGCATTTAAGTCTGCACCCAGGATGAAATGGTGTCCTAAGGAATTGAGGAGGGGACTAAATTGGGTATTAAAGATGGATTGGTTGCGAAGGCAATACGCTGATGCAATGGTAATAGGAAATGAGAAGGTTTTGATTATGATAGCTGTGGATGGTAAGAAATCATGAGTAGGTAATAGGAGTAGCTGATGAGAGAGGGATAGGTGTACAATTAATGCAGTTCTGGCATTTGCTATACCGTCAGGATGGTCAGTACGATATGTAGAGTACAGCACTGTGGTATTTTTAGAATTGTTTTTTTGGTCAGTCGAGTTTCCGTAATAAGGGCTACATCAACGTTTTTGTCTAGTAATAGAGCTGTCAGTTCGTCAGTACGATTTCTAACACCATTCGCATTTCAAAGGAGAATGGATGAGGGTTTGATGGGATTCATTTAAGGATTGTTTAAAGGAGGAATGAAGAGAGATACTAGATTTGTAAGGAGAGATATCAGTGGGGTAACAAGAGATTTGAACTCAGTGAGGAAAGATGCCAACAAACTGGTAAGGTTTATGGCTTAAGACGGAGGAGGAATATGAGGAATGTGATGTTGATGAGGTTGTTAAGGATTTTGTACATTAGGAGGGATAGGATGTTAAAGTTGGGATTGGGGTTCCTGTTGCTGCGGCAGGGCCTCACATTCGTCAGTCAGGGCTCTACCCCCTAGTAACTGGGAAAAAGAAACTTTAGAGTCTACTATTTTAGCAGGCCCTCTTCTGGGCTTCTGAGATTTCTTGTTTCCGGGGTTTACAAAATTTATTTTTGATGTTTTTGTAGACCTGACAGCCCTTGTAGTTGGCCGGATGTCCTTTCAGGCATAAAGCACATACTGCAGGAGTAGTTTTCAGTTTGTTGCATTCACTAGTCTTGTGCGACTCGCCGCATTTCATGCATCTTGGGATGTGGTGGCAATAAGTTTTGGTGTGGCCATATGCCTGGGAATTATGGCACTGGACGATTTCTCTTTTAGTGTATGGTTTTCAACCTTAACACTAGTATAATATAATCTTTTAATTTCATATATTTTATCGACCCCTGCTGAGGGTTCTAAATCTATGAAAAATATGGGTAATAGTATTTTTGAAGGAAGTTAGTCGACTTTTCTACATATTATGGATGATAAATATTCAGGACGCAGTCTTTTTTAAAAATTTTTATTTTTATTTTTGCCAACGTTTCAACCCAAACATGTGGGTCATCTTCAGGGCTGAAAATGTTTTTTAAAATTACAATCAGAGATATAATAGTATATGACCGCTAATTATGAATAATAAACTATAGTGATTGATGGCACATGAATCTTAACTAATATTGTAATACACATATTAAAATAGTTATACAAACTAAAAATAAAAAATAAAAAAAATAATGTATATAATCCATTTATACAAATTTGTAATATTTTCTCTTACTAACCGTGGTTTGAGCACTGAGTGTGTTCAAGTACTGAAACATGTTTGGTAGGTAAGTAAAAAGGTCAGGGGTGGAGGATTTTCCAGTTGTCCTTTTTTAGATAGCAAAAGGTAGGTAAACATAGTTAGAGGGGAAGGGGAGGGGGCGGTAACATTTATGTTTGTAGAATATACATAATTTGCTGACAAATATTTCAGACATGTACAATATTTGAGTTATTTCATATGGTTACAGAAATGTGACTATTGACTAGTAATGAAATTAACATAAGCAAACGGTGCCAATCAATATAAATATAGCTTAGTTTGATAGCAAGTATACAATGGTTAGATGAATAATTTTTATAATAAAGACAATTTCAATGTATGCAATTGATACTTAGGACTATATATTATACAATATTTAAAGAATAACAATATTTATCATAATATAAGTTTGAATTATATTAAGGATTACATAGGCTATTGTTTCAGGAGGTGGAAAATATTTGAATATGTATTGCAGATCTTTTCTTTGTCTACTTTATGGTTTACCGGATTATTTTTTTCCAAATTAATGAATATAGATTCCGATAGTAGTCGTTTTTGGTGATTGGGAACTGTGGCGAGTATGGTTGGGTTTTCAAAATCAAATGTGTGATTTAGGGTTATGGCGTGTTCCGCTAGTTTTGAGGCGAACGGGTTTCATGTGGAGATGCTGTATTTGTGTTGATAGACTCAATGTTGTAACTACGGCTACCTATGTTTTCAAAACAAATTTTTTCATCAAACTTCCGGCTTGGCGATGGGTAATTGCCTTGCACCATACCTCTCTAGTATTGTTCTTAACAATCTCATTGATTCAATACTACCTAAATTTCCTAAGGATATCTTTTTCATTAAAAAATATGTTGACGACCTTGTATTAATCCTCAAGAAGATGGGGTTTTGATTGATTTTTGATCAAGTTTTTTATAATGTGATCAGGAAAAGCATTGGATTTCAGGATCTTGTGTAGTTTGGTTAGGTTTTTATCGTGGAATTGTGGGTCAGTTAATGTTAAACTGCAGTGTATCAGGTTTTTAGCTACACTGATTTTTTGGTGGTAAAGGTGTTGGGAAAAATAGTTTAGGAGATGGCCTGAGTAGGTAGGTTTGGTGTACCAATTGGTGGATATGGTATTATCATTATTTCTGGAAATGAGGAGGTCAAGAAATGGGAGGGAATTATTTGATTCTATTTCATTGCAAAAATTGAGTCGAGGGTGGTATGAGTTGAATGCAGAAAGTATGTTTGGAATAGCGTGGGGTTTGAGGATTAATACAAGGTCGTCAACATAACACATACTTTCGGTAGTATCGCATAACACATCAAGAGAGAAGTGAAGGAAGAAAATTAAAAAAAATAAAATAAAAACATGCTGCATGACCTTGATTTTGTATCAGTGTCGCAAAAGGACTTCTCCCGGTTAAGGCTCCAAGCCCAACTGACTAGTCAAGGCCAGGTACTTATGGCTGCAAGATAATGGAAATGGCCTCTATACACCGCCTTCACTTCACACAACTGTACTCACTGTGGTCCAGGAGTTTAGCTCGTGTATAGTCACAATTTTATTAAAAAATAACTAATTTCCTAAGAAAAAGTGAATACATCTAAGAGACGAGGTAACAGTGGTATATTATAATCTAGCACATGCGCAGAACTCTTTGTTAATTAAAGCAAAGAGATCGCTGTAAACTTGCAGCTCTTTAACTTTGAAAATTTCCCACCGCTAGGGTTCTTAAACTGACATAAGGTAGTAGTGTAGTACATGCCTACACAAAGCACATTTTTGCGGACAACCAACAGTGTATCCACCACAGAATCACCACAAACTAAATTTTACCCGATGTCCCAAAATTACCCCACCTGACGGTATCTCTTTTTATCTTTTTATAGTAAATATTAAAAGGAATTATTGGTGACACCTACTTATTATTTATTTTTGCATTAATCATAATGAATGAATGATTAACTTAACAATTATCTTGCTGATTTCAATTTATTAACAGACTACAGTAATTAATTGTTATGAAAACATAACTGTTTTAGCATAAAATAGATGGAACCCTTTTGTGATTTGTATTATCTAATAACATACATGTGTAAACCTGCCCTTATAAAAATAATTGGTAATATACTGGTTTAACCTTCAAACTTATATGGTGTGGCGGGTCTGGTATTACTAATTACAAAACAAAGTAGAATGTAAAAAATAAGCTTACAATGATCATCTTTATAGAGCCTGAAGTCCTGCAAGGAATTACTGAATAGGTGATATCAAATTGTGTAAACATACAAGATAAATACATTGACAAAAACAAAAGTAATATAAATAAATTATGCTTAAAAACTCAATAAAATGCATACAAAAAATACAGTGAGACACAGGACCCCTTTTCATATTATCAGGTGACCGTCAAGGTGTTAAATGTACCTTTTGTTTGATTTTTAAAAGATCTGAAGAATCTTTCTTTTGCTCTGGTAAGTGCTTGGAAAAATCTTAAAGCAGTCATTTTTAAAAATTTCTATTCATTATTGTCAGGTTTCTGACGAATTTCCCATGAGGATTAAAACAAAACATAGTTAGTAGATCCCCGCAACAACACGAGTTGATAGGAAATGAAGCAATCCATGTTATAGGGATACATGTGCTGTATGGATAGCAGAAAAATATAAGTCATTAATAAAAGTACACACATTTATGGAATAAAAGATGCTTTATTAAAAAAAATATCATCAAATGTATCTGTAAGAGAAGTTGTACTTGACTAAAAAATGATAAAGCAAGGTGAAAAATAAATACAAAATTCCAGCAATTTACCGGTGTTCTTAATTTTTTCAATTATTTTTCATTAAAGTACTACTGTCTGGGTAAACAGAACATTATAATACTATTTCCTTAGTTTAAGACTAAACATAAATCTCTGTTTAGTCGTCTAGTCTAGTCCTCAAACTAGGGTAGGTCCGCATTGTTTCTGAATCTGTTGTGTAACAAGCAGCATTATGATGAGAGTCCACACTATAAGGAAGAAGAAAGATATCACTTATAGGAGAAAAAAGACAAATCAGAAAACTGATATTATTTAATATTTAGAAAATTGATATTGTTATAATCAATTATCTTTTTAGCAAAAGTTAATATTTTACATGTCTCAATTTTTTGTATAATTATATGTTGTTTGATAATTAATTTTTAAATTTGAATATTTATCTACTAATCAGTATGAATTATCACTTTCAGGTACATTCAGATAGCTACAAAACTGTGAAACTGATCACACAGGAAGACTACGAAAAAATTGCTCCTAAAGCTCCTAGAAAAATTTACCAAGAAATGCCTCCTCCACCACCACCTTCATTAAATACAAATGAAAATGAAGTGAACAGAGACGAACAAATGATGGTATTGGTTCATGATATGTAAAAATTAAATTAAAATTTTTCAATGTCGAGTTACTGTAACATATAAGGAGGAGAGGTTTGTACATTAGTTTAAACAAGGCTTTAACTAAATGCTAAATTCGAGCAAAATTAAATGGTAGAAAAGAAAGGAAAAAAAAGAGTAAAGATGAGACCTGTAAAACAAGGTTAAAACGCATGCATATCAAATAATAAAAAATTAAAATATTCAGACAATAAAAATGGAAAATAAATAATCACCCTTTTTTAAATGTTCACTAGATTTATTACAGTGGAAAGAAGATATGTACAAAATTTAAAAAACAAATGAAAAAAGAGTATTAAAATGCACTGAAATAAAATCAAACATAAAATATAATAATCAGTGAAAATAAAAACAAATTGTCCATCAAAATAAAACATATATAAAAATAAACTTCCAAAATTAAAGAAAAAATTCAGCCATTAAAAATAAATTCAAGAAAAAAATAAATGTAGCGAGGAAAAATATTTAACTAAATTACAAATGTCTGTGGTAACGGTGAGAGAAGAAAACGAAAAATATCCAAGTTGGAGGCTATACTTCCAAAGAGGTTACCTGAATGTTCAGCTAATGTCAAAGGCAGTCGATGGTGGGGGAATCGATATACATATCGGTCTCGATCGATGACACAGCTGGGATGGGATGTTGAGAAAAATAATAATGAAAAAAAATATAAAGATACAAGTGCATGCGGTGTTAACGCATTAAAGCTCTCACCTATTTTGGTTTAATTATTTTAATCAACAATACCATTGTATTATTTCATTAATCTCTATTTCTATTATCTTAGATATAGTGATTTATTTGGTTTTGATTTTTTTTTTTCTTTAAATAATACTAATTTATTTTTAATAATTATTTTTTCCCCTTAAAGGATCAGGAATCAAGTTCAAAATGTATAAATCAAGATAAACAAAAGACAACAACAAACATAAAGCCAACTCCTCGTTTTTATGCTGTTGTAAAAGATCCAGAACGACCTGAGAAAGGTTTTAAAAGGAAGACGAAGCATAGTCAAAATCCTCCTGTTGAACATCATGTTGGATGGATAATGGATGTAAGGGAACATAGGCCTAGAACATCTTCAACTGGGTAATTTTATTTTTCTTGATTCTGGAAATATTATTTAGTTTTTTCATTAGTCTTAGGGTTACTTTCTATTAATTCATTGTTTTGTCTAACAAAATGTATCTCTAATATAAGTAAATAATTGACCGGTCAATGTTTTGGCTATTCAGACATGTTCAGCACAAACCACACAATCACATTTATGCAGGCTGTAGTTCAACCAGAATTAGTTGGCATATCGAGGGTGAACTCTTGCGTCACTAAGTTGAAATTAACATTTAGTTTTTTCCCCTAACCTCCTATATTACTTACAAAATATAATCATGTATTGTAAGATGATAGTATAGTCTTGTAATATTTGTAAATTACATTAAATTTTATTAGTGCTGCCTGAGTTTCCCTTTGTGCTGCCAACTAATTGTGGTTATGCTATAGACTATTATGGTACAGAGCTTACAGATTGTTATGGTACAGAGCTTAGTTTCTGACTTAAACCGACCAAATACAGCCAGTATCGACCTTATTACCTTATCAGAATGACATTAACAACTAGTAGGCCCGTGCAAAAAATTCACACAGCATATTATTATCAAATGCCAAATTAATAATAAAATAAAATAATGCAATGTATCAAAAGATAAAGAAATCAAATGTTACTTTATCGATAAATATAATCGACAAAGAAAACCAAAATTAATTTAAATCTTCATTTTTATTTGGAATTTCAGTAAGCTGTATCTTTGTTAAAAATAGTCTGATTTCGATGATTTTTTTCCTTTTGTAGGGAATTCAGTTATCTTTCATATGACCGTGGGCATAACCAAGGGAAAAGTGTTTAATTTTTTAGTTATTCGCAAATAAAGTTTGTTTTCTTTCATAACTTGTTTGCCTGAATTTTCGGGGTGATTGGATTATTTTGCCCGCCTGAAGGAGAAGGAAGCCTTCGAAATTGGTGGCTCAATCTTGAGATTTGGTGAAGAATTAACAATGATATGGCTTGCCGATCAAAAACACCATCGATAAATAACATAAACTCCTCTCTCGATCATAAAGACCTCAAGTCGACGAAATGAGACATGTATTCAATGACAGTACCACAATTAATGTAAGGCTGTGTGGATGCGAACACTATGCCTTGAGTTATCTCGAAAATAGTACGTTTTTGGGCTTGAAACTCAGGATCCGATAGTTCCGGAGGAACTATCCGGGTCTTGCTATACGCATCAAAATCTTCAAGATCCAATTTGTCCCGTATCGATCTACAGACCTACTACCGTTCCAGTATTGAAGCCTAGCAAAATGTTTGTATCGACTTTATTTATTTTAGAAAGAAAAACAAAAGTGGAGAATACGATTCGCTAATCCCTGTGAAATTCTGAATCCAACGGTACCGCATTCATAGTATTTGAGCATGACAGGAGCTTATATTTGGTACAAAACCGATTTCGAGCCTTACTGTAATAATATATGTGGGGATGATTGTGTTAAGGATTGTGTTATCCTGTTTACAGTATATGAACCTTATTATCAAAACACTAGTGTTGATATTGTTAACAATACAGAAAAATTGTATTGTTCTTAGTTTAAGAAATACTTCACGAAAAAGAATTCCGCTAATAAATAAATCAATAACTAATAAAAAACAATTTTTATTATATTGATTTCAATTCATGACAATGTTTTTTTTAATTTGTTTTGTGCTCAATCCCAAAATGATTGTGGCAGTAGCTTACTCTTGGTATCATTTATCGATCATTGTTTTGGAAATCTACAAAATTAATAAGTATGGTTCACTGTTTGGGAGATAATACTAATGAAACGTTATATCATTCCAAATGTTCTTATAAGGTTTAAGAGTAGTTAAGGAGTAAAGATGATTTTTAAAGGAAGATAATTACAGTAGTATTGATCATATAGGTCTACTTTTGACCAGAAGTTAATTTTGTTCTGCTTAATCAGTAATTTTTCTTGTAGCTTTTTTTTATGTCTTTTTTTATATATTTTTCCACCCTCATAATTTTCATTCTTTCTTTTTATCAGTTTAATAACAAAATATTTTGTTAATGTAGGAGCAGTGCCGGGACTAGTCCAAATGAAGGATATTTGTCTACCAGCATTCCTACCTTCCAGCATCCATCACACTCTCTCCTTAAGGAAAACAACTTTACTCATCAAGTTTATCATAAATACCATTCCAGATGCTTAAAAGGTATTGAAAATTAGGTGAAAACAAATTATTTCCTGATTTCAGCATAAGTAATTAATGGAGTACTATAATTATTCATGTTTAATTGCTTTATTGTTGTTTAAAGTAAAAATAGTGAAAGTAGAGCCATATTATCATTTGAATATTGATTGGTAAATATGTTATATTTATATCTGTTGTCTAATAACCAAGCAAAGGTTTAGTTGATTTAATAAAATAATTTTAGTAATTGTTAGGAGTTATTTATGTACAAAATATGTATGGCTTTTTAATTCAAACATTTCAGTTAACTCCATTTCTAAATAATGTTTTAAGTATATCCATGATTTCTCTCGGACTTCTATGACCAATTTATTGTTGATTTTACAGAAAGAAAGTACTTGGGTCCCGGCCAATCTCAAGAAATGAATACTTTGTTTCGGTTTTGGTCATTCTTCCTTAGACAACATTTTAATCAAACTATGTATAAGGAATTTAAAAAACTTGCTTTAGAAGATGCAAAAGTTGGTTTCAGGTTAGTTCAATTTAAATTTAACAGATTTTATTCATATTTTTTATAATAGATTTTCTTCTTTAATATGCTCAAGGTTGGTTGACTGAAGAATAATCACAATGTAATTCAATTTTAGTTTTTGACACCATAATTAAGAGATTAGTAAATATTACAAATTATAAAGAATGTCTAGATCATTCTTACTGCGACCTATACATATATTTTTTTGGAACACTGGCTACCTAGTGGTCCCAAACCAATTTTAGATTTCTGATTAAGCACATTTAGGGCTGGGTGTATAATTCACTGTTAAAACAGAGAATCACATTGTTAAAACATTGTTTAAGTACTCAACCATGTTTAACCAGTGAACATTGGTTAGCCCACTGTACAAAACTTAATCAGTATTGTTTCGGTCAAAAGCCATTATCATGGACACAAGCAGTTATCTCATGTATTTATATGCTTTTGCAACTAAAATGGTTTTTGCATGATCATGGGAATTAAAAGTTAGTGACAGTCATATATTTTTTTTTTTGTGTTGAAAATTTTTTTTTAAATGCTCCTTTAATTGTATTTGAAAAACTTTTTTTAATTACATAAATTTATTCTTTTTATAAAGGAAGAAGATAGTCCGGGGTTGTGGTCATAAATAGGCTAAATAGTGGTAAAACTATTTTATTGAAAGCCGACGTTTTGACCCGATTTTGCAGGTCTTCATCAGGGCTAGAACGGACAAAATACAAAAAGATAAAGAATTGTGGCAGTTACATAATATTTTGTCATAATTTATAAACTATGTGAATAAACTTATTACAATTATAAACAGTAAGTACAATAAAATATGAACAAAGTAAGCTGAGTAACAAGATCCTAAACTGAAGTAAATAGATGCTAACAATTGTTGTAGTGTAATATATAATAAATGAAAATGTGAATATACTTCTACAAGATCTACAGGAGAGATTGAAAGAAAAGGAAAAAGGATATGATATGAAATAATAGACATAAAGGAATGTGGAGAAAGAAAAGAAAAAGGAAACCAAAATTAGGAAAATAAGTAAGTAAAATTGGAAGAATAAAATTAGAGACTTACAGGTGTGTTCATCTAGGAGTTTCACTTAGAACTGGAAAGAAAATGGTAATGGTAACAGGTATAGGGGAAGCTAACATGTGTTAACTGAGTAATTGGGAAAAACCTAGGAAATTACAGTA